CTCTTATATGCAGAAGCTAGAGCAAAATAAAGTAAGAAAGCATTGGGAGTGGGTATTAGACATTATAAGAATAGAGGGAAGATCAGTGGAGTAGAGGAAGGAGACTGAGGGGGAGGGAGGGAGGGAGGATCAGGTCCTCCATAATTTCCTGTACTTGGCTCCTACCTTCCAGGTCCACACCGTGGCGCTGGGCCAAGTGGAGAACATTGTCCCCGACTCTGCCGCTCACCGGGATCCGCTGGCCTGACCGGTCTACGAAGACCACGTTCACCCTGGGGACAGATGGTAGAGCGGATGCCACATTGGACCATGGGCTCAGGGGCCGCACAGATTCTAGGGTTAGGAGACAGGGGATGGGCGAGACAAATAGGTAGGTATTGAATGGGGCGAGGCAGAAAAAAAGCCCCGGATGAAGTTGCAGAACAGGGCTTGAATCGGGGAGCCTCATGGGACGAGGAACGAGGGATTTGGACCCGTACACTCACACGTCCCCGGGCCGCTCAGAGCCTCTGGCCTCTTCCTCTCCTGCCGGGCGCGAGCCTAGAAAACACGGTTAGGTGAGCGGCTGCGCCCCGCTCTGCCGGCGTCCGACTGGTTGACGCAGTCTGTCCCAGGAGCCCTGGGTACCTGTCGTCCAGAATTTTCTGGCTGTCGCCAGCGCCGCTGCCTCCCTGGACCTGCTCCACCAGGAACCCCTGGCCATCCGCAGCAAGACCCTGGCATTCACGCCGCCCCGGGCCACGGAGGCGGCCATGACAGGCATCACGTGACCAGACGACCGAGCATGCGCAGTCCCGGACACGCGAACCAAGAGCTCGTAATTACCCAAACACAAACGCAGAGGTTTGCTTGGGTCCTGAGGCGGCGAGGTGTTTGCGCCGGGGGAGGAGGGCACCAGGTGGGAACTCAGTCGTGGAAACGTCCTAGATCAACCCGGCCTTCCCACCCAGGACCATTGTCATCCCAAGAAACAGCCAGCTCTTATTTCTTTAAAACCGTTTACTTACAAACTTTAATTCAGCAAAGGTCTGTATGGGAAGATTGGGGAGAGGACATCCCCCTGAAGTGAATGTGGGCCCCAGAGTCAAGACAGGGAAGCTGGTGGCCCAGCTGGCCAGGGGCAGTGCCCAGGGTCACCTCAGGTGGACAGGTCCTGCTGGTGGGCAGGTGTACAGCCTATCTGCATGAGTCGTACTGGGCTGAAAGGAGGCCAGCTCCGGGGGATCTGGCCTGGGGTGGAGATGGAACTCATCTTCAACAAGGGGAGACAGCAGAGGTTCCGGGAGATGGGCATGGAAAGCCCACTCCCACAGGCAGGGGGATTGGTTGAAGCTGGCAGAGAAAGCCCGTCTCTGCACCTAGGCCTGGGTGAAGGGGTGGTGAGGGCTGGTTTGCCAAGACCAAGGCTTTGGCCTTCTACCGTCCCGGGGTTGGAGACCCTGGGTAGAGGGGCCCAATCCCCAGGCCAGAGCTGTTTGGTCCTGAGTCAAGCTTCTGGAGCTCGGCATCTGAGAGGCTCTGGCCAGCAGGGCCTGTGGCCCAACTTTAAGGCATCAGAAGGCAAGGGGACTGTGGTAGGGAGCTGGGGACCCAGGGCTGGGGTACTGGCCAGAGTGGGCAGGTAGGGGCAAAAGATAGCCATGCCTGCAGCAGACATGGGAAAAAGAGAAAAGTGTGGAGCTGTTACAAACTGCAAAGTGTGGAATGGAGGCCCAGACAGGTTGGACCTTGATGCAATCAGAGCTAGGGCTCATCCTGGATGGCTTAAAAAATAATAAAAATTAGAAAAGGAAACAAAAGTCAATTGTCAAAGTTAAAAAAGGGGGACAGTCTCTGATCCTCACGGGAGGTCAGGGAAACCTCCAAGGCACTCGAAAGGCCAAAATACAGGAGTGATGAGGCAGGAGAGGACTCCCAGAGAGCCGGGCACAGGCGGAGGACAGGAGACACAGGAGGGGGAGAGAGCAGACTGTGGCCCCTCTCTCTTAAGGCTGCGGGGTTTCGGCGCTGGGAGCAGGCCAGAGGTGCCATGAGGCTCCCGGGTGCCACCATACTCCTTGGGCTCCGGCTGGCTGGTCAGCAAAGTCTTTCAGAGATTTCTCTATTACCGAAAGAAAGAAAATTAAAAAAAAAAAAAACAAAAAAAAACCACAACCACAAAAACACGCGCGCGCACACACAAAACAACACCAGAAAACCCAAAAGCGATTTGGTGCAGGCCCTTGAGCATTTCTAGCATTGGCCCCTTAGAAAATCCTCTTCCGCTTCAGGTAGGAGTCTGCGTAGTGGCCACCAAGGCCCTGGGAGTGTTGGCCCACGTAGCTACCCTCTGGACTGGGCTCAGGTGAGGGGAGCAGGTGAGCAAAGCTGCGTTTCTGGCCGCCCAGTGGGGTCTGGAGACAAAGGGCAGGGGGGACCAGATCAGGGGCCACCCAAGGGCTGAGACTTCCCAGCCTAGTATGTCCCCACCTCCTGCCCCTGCATGTACCTTCAAGAGGTGGCTGTGGCCATTGGGCCCAGGGCCCAGACCCAGGAGTCCTTCACTGGAGCCCAAAGGGGAGGAGCCGACTGCCTGGAAAAATGGAAGAAGTGGGAAAGGTCAATCCTGAGGTCAGAGGGAGGGTGAGAGATTTCTGGTTCATGTCTTGCATCTGCCACTTAAACCAATAAGGTCTGGGGCAGATTACTGTAGTTCTGAGACTCAGTTTCCTCCTGTCAACTGGGGCTAATACCAGCTACCTGGATCAATGGTAGAGGAAGCAGGGAAGGCAAGAAGTCTATCACTCAATACGAAGGTATAGGGGCAGTGTGTAAGTGTTTTTCACTTTTCCCTGAGCAAGCCCAACCGCTGCCTCTGCCCCAGCCTTGGCTGAGGGACCAAGGGTCACAAAGCCCTGGAGGCAGACACCCCCAACCCCCACATCCTCGTTGTCCTTGGCTGGGGAGGCTCCTCACCTTGCTGAGGTGGCTCTGCTTGAGGCCAGCCTGCAGGCCGCTGGTGAAGTAGGAAGTGGGCGAGCCCGAATAGAAGTGAGAAAGGGGCCCCCCGCCACCTCCACCACTCCGCTCTCCAAAGCCACTGGGTGGGGGAGACGTCTGCAGAGAGGGGGTTGGTTGAGTGATGAAGACAACTGTAGGATCCCCTCTTAAAGGACTCTGGGCTTCACCATAATGAGCTTTGATCAACAGGAATGAAGAAAGCTGGCACATGGGGACCTGCTCTCCCTTGGTCCTTCACGGAACCCTGAGACCATGGTCACTTGAGTGAGCACAGGCTGGCCTGTGGGAGGATGAGCTCCATGTGGATAAGAGATAAACTGCCCCGGCTCAGCATCCTTCAACAGCCTACGAACTACCACGTATGTGAGGGGACACTGGGGACCACTGCGCCCCTGATGAGCTCAGCTCCCAAGTGATTGGAGGAACTGCCTGCTGCCCCCACAGAATGGTGAGAAATTTAAAAAAAAGTTTGCAGCCAGGAACAGTGGCAGCCATCTGTAATAACAGCTACTTGAGAGGATTAAATGGGGGACCACTTGAGCCCAGGAGTTCAAGACCAGCCTGGGCAACACAGTGAGACCCTATTTCAAAAATAGATGTGGTGGCACAGGCCCGTAATTCCTAGCAGCTCCAGAGGGTAAGGCAGGAGGATTCCAAGTTCAAAGCCTGTCCTGGCAACTTAGCAAAGCCTTAAGCAACTTAGTGAGACCTTGTCTCAAAATAAAAAATAAAAAGGACTGGGAATGTGGCTCAGTGGTTAAGCAACTCTGGGTTCAAACCCCAGTACCCAAAAAAAAAAAAAAAAAAAAAAATGACTGGGGATGCAGCTTAGTGATAAAGTGGCCCTGGATTCAATCACTAATCTAAAAAAAAAAAAAAAAGTTAGCTTTGCTCAGCTATTAAGTAATGGGCCAGCCTGTTAACTGCTATAACCCGGGGTAGGATGAAAAGGCTACTCTTACCTTGTGTCGGCTAGGTCCATGAGGCCCTAGGGCTGGCTCCCGTGGGTGAGAAAAGAGCCTCCGAGGTCCCATATCCTGAATGAAAGGAGCAGAAACACATATGGTCTGAATCTGTGCCAGCCACCCTCCCCCCACCCTGCCCCCAGGAAGGAGGCAAATTCATGATACAGGGCCTGTGACTAGGTGGGTCAGCTGAAGTGAGACCAGAAGTAGTTGTTCCCAGTGGGCAGGTGGATCTGGTCCCAGGGATGGATGCTATGGTGTACAGACCCAAGGGAGTCAGAGGTTCATAGTTTTTAAGGCAAGCTGGGAATCTGGGATGTGTGAACTCTAGCAGTTTTTATTCAGTCTTTTGTTGTTTTCTAATCCAGTGTGAGTCAAACCTAACACAGGTGGCCTGTGGGTGTCCACTTTATAATTTCTGATCAGTAGGTGGTGGGGATCTCATAAAGACCAAGTCTCTGATATAGACAAGAATCCTCCTCACATTGGAGGCTGAAATGGAAAGACAGGCAGGACTCTGAGTTCTTTAAATATGGAGAAACAGTAAAGCCTAAAACCTCACAGGACAGACAGAAAGACAAATGCAGGGTGAGATTGCTCAGGTCCTGGGGATGGAAAGGCAATAGGAGCCTTAAGGGCAGGGACCATATCCAACAAATCCCCTGGTGTCTCCCTAATGCTTGACCTGGTACAATTAATACCAGAGAAGCAGAGTAGGATGAGTGTCTCTTATCTGAAACCTTAGGAACCAGAAGTATTTTGGATTTTGGACTCTCAGATTTTGGAACACCTGTATATATAGGACGAAATATTTTGGGGATGGGACCTAAGTCTAAACAAGAAATTTGTTTCATATATACCTAACACACATAGCCTGAAAGTCATTTTACATGTATGGTTAACAATTCTGTATTTTGACTGGGACCCACCCACATGAGGTCAAGTGTGGAATGTTCTACTTGTATTGGCATGTCAGTGCTCAAAAGTTTTCAAATGTAGAACTTTTCAGATTTGGGATTTTTGCATTAGGGATGTTCAACTTGTATCCTTGAGCTGCTCTCAGGGGACAAGGGACCACAGAACCTGGCCCTCAGGGATGGCTGATCCCAGGCAGCCAGGTACTTACCGAGGGGTAGTCGAAGCCATAGCTGTCAGGCAGCCCTGGTTCAGGGGGCAGGCGGGCGTTGGTGAGGGGGCTGAGCAGGCGGGACTTGAGCTGGAAGGCTTTGCTGCCACCACCACCTCCACCAGGGGTGGGGGGATTGGGCAGGGGGCCCTCAGCTGGGCGGCGGCCTCTCCCAGCGCCTCCCCAGCTACGGGCCTCCTTACCCGCTAAGTTACTGGCTGGGAGCAGGCTGTGTAGGTTCAGGTAAGGATTCAAGGGGATCCGGTAGTCCTTGGGGGGCTCCCCTAGTAGCGAGACCTGTGACAGGAGAGCTGGATTTGCAAGGTCCCAAGCAGAGGGGATGTCGCAAAGCGGGAGGCTGGAATGATGCTGTGTGCAAGGAGGAGCCTTACCCCAGGGGGAGTTGGCAGGGGCCCACTGTCCTTCTGAAGGCCTCTGAGGCCTGTGCCACGGAGTCCCGCAGGGGCAGGGGGTGGAGTAAGCTGGGCTGTTGGAGGACCCAGGCCCATGGTCTCCCGGTCACCCCCAGAGGGGCCCAGCAGTGGTGGTAGCAGGGGTGGTGGCTTCCCTCGCCGGGGTGGCAGCTCCGAGGGCAGGCCCCCTCCTACAGAGAGAAGAAGAGTGTCAGTCAGTGGCCTAGGCCAGAAGGATCCCTCTTCCCTGGGCCCTAGGGC